CCGCTTCCATTGGCCAGGCTCCTCATCGCGAACCCGCTTAGGTTTACTTGGCACGTTTACCCCAGACGCCGTTCGTTCTATTTCGAGCGCCTATCAGTTTACATCTTGCCAACGACCTCTTGGGTTTTGTTTTTGATTCGTTTAGCTGGGCTTTGGGGGCTTGTGGAAATAGATTGGTGGCTTCTTGGCTTTCTAGACTGTTCACGTCAACGTCGTCGCAAGTAGATGTACTCTAGAGTGGCCCAAATGGACCGGAGATTGTGTATATATGCACTCTTCTCCGCCGTGAAGAATCCGTGTGGACAACTCATGAGCACACTCGACTTGGACAGACTCGCTCATGGCTCACATTGCATCGAATCTCACACATTTTCACAGCACGGCGCGTGGGAACGCAAGGTATAGAAACAGGATTGACTTCCAGGGCAAGTTCCCCCCTTCTTACAGAACAGAGATAATCAACACTAAAAATCTATATATGATGTCCACACACAAAAAAGGGGTCTGAGAGAGGTAGGTTGGGAGAGAGGAAGAGACAAGTGGCCGTCACACAAAACAGACTTTCGCTCGAATATCTCCGTCCAGGTTTCGTTCCATACGTCAAGAGTCGTAGCCGTGTCCCTCGGATTAGGGACTGGCTCAGAGGATGCCAAAAAGGGGGGAGAAGGTTTGATTTCTTTTTGCCTGTCCACGTTGTCTAAGAAGGCGGGTTGAACATTAAGACCAATCAATGGCCGCGGGCGCGGAGCGGTAAGGCGATATCAATCTTCCCCATCCGAAAAAGACAGAAAAAAAAGGGGGTCGCGTTTTTGCTCTGCTTCCCAGTTTCCACAGCAAAAAAGTCGTCCAAGGAGAGACAAGAAATTCGGTTCCGATTCATTTGGCCTGCGGCTGTGCCCCAAAGGCAAAAGAAGGGGGACCCATGGAAGGCGTCCCTTAGAATCCACGGTAGCCTGCCTTCTCATCGATATGGCGATAGCGCTCGCGCTCCTTGCGGTCCTTGAGGAGCATGGCAGTGCAGACGACGAGGAGGGCGTCGATGCCCACCATACCGAACACGGCGGTGAAAATGTTGTCGACGAAGACATTGGCGAAACTCGTGATCGGGGCGGCGCAGCCCTTCTGGAGTGCGGCGGCGGCAGGGCTAGGGCACTGAACATCGGTGATGAAGGCAGGAGAAGTGCTATTGAAGTATCCACAGCATTGAAACTGGCCGGTGTTAGTCCTGTTCTTTCTATACAGCCTACGAGCAAACTTACAGCAGTCTGCATGAGTTCTTGAACACTAGGGTCGGCGGCAATCCAGAGCTTGCCAAAGTCGGCCTTGGTGGTGAGGGTCGTGACCCAAAGGTAGGTTCCGAGGACCAAACTGAAGAGGCCGCAGAAGGTGACGAGGTAGCCCGAGAGCTTGAGCCATCCGCGGGCAGTAGTGATCATACCCGGGATGGTCATGAGGAAGGTAACGAAGATGAAGACGGCGTTGACGACACCAGCTGTTTATTGTTAGTCCTTCATGTTCCCACGATACCCCCATAGCCGAACCATCGCATTGGCGCTCGAGTACGTACCGGTCAGAGGGAATTGCTTCGTGAGCAACTTGGTGGCAGCCTCGACGCCCTCTTTCGGTGCTTCGTTTACGGTGTTTTGGTTGATGAGGGAGTAACCGAGGAGAATGGCTCCGGTGATGACGAAGACTGCGTCGGCGGCCACGTAGGCCAGTAGCACCTTGTTCGCCATGGCGGGTTGCTGTCGTGATAATGAGCAGCCACGAGACCCGAGAGAGAGTTGTCGCCCGGAGAGACTTGGCTGCCCCTCAACCGTTCCAGATAATCCTCCTCTTAGATTGTCCTCCTCTTTCGAATAGATTTAAGATTTTTCGAGATTTTTTGGTTGACGACCGGCGTCTTTGTTTACGGACTCAAAAATCGTTTGCGGGTTCGTCGGGGTCGGTGTCGTGGGTAAGGACTGTCTTCGACCAGCAAAAATACACGGAACCTCCACGACCCAGCGGGGGACGATCGCAACGGTAAAATAAAAAGGTATAGAAAGAGAGAAGGTGACGAACCGAAGGTATCGCCAAAGAAGTGAATAAGGTCGGATTGAACGATTGTACAAGAAAATGAGTATGGCCAAAGGTCGCTCTCCAAAAAGAACCCGGCTTCGCGTAGGACTGGGAGGAGGAGAAGGGGAGCGAAGGAGTAGAGGCGCAACTGGAAGTCTGAGGAGGTGGAACGGGAGAGCGGCCGGTATCCACAGTGCTGTCTCGGACGAGACTGAGACCTGAGAGACTTGAGCTGGCCAGGGAGACCCCAGAGGAGAATCGCCAGATTCTTGGTGGCAGGAGAGGGGCCCGTATCGAGAAGGGAAGTCAAGAGAGTGGACGAGAGCCAGTGAGTGGGCGACCAGGGGTGGGCGGCTCTTGGGTTGTCTTGGTGGTGGTCTTGGTCAATGGTGGCAGCGTCCGGTGGGTTACGTATTGGGGCGCGGCGGCAGGGACCCCTCTCGACTTTTCGGTGGCTCGAACAGCAGATGGGAGAATGAGAAACGCACCAGAAACAGCTGGGGACCAGCCCACCGGTGTCACACTGTGTCTGGCGCACTGGAAATGGAGGGAAAGGGGTGAGAGGGATAGTGCGAAAAGAGATGGCCAGAGGCGGAGGACGGACTGTGGACGAGGAAAGGGAGGTCGTGATGATTCGAATTCCCTGACGAGACGTGTTTCAGGGCCGAGGGGCGCCCTCATGCAGGCGGTACGGGCACGCGCCAGTGCAAGAGCCGTGCAGCCACCGATCCGGCGCTTGTAGCCAATCAGGGCGCTCAAAATGTCCAAGAGTCGCCTGATTGGGGTGGTCGTCCGTTTGGCCCCGTTGCTTAGGGCTGCTGCTGGCTGGCTTGGGCCTGCCGCAAGGAACCCGCTGACCTAAGGCCAGCTCAGGGAGTAGAAGTCACTTTACAGTTTAAATCAGCAGAAGTGATACATACATCCTTCCGAACCCAAGCAGTGCCTTATGTAAGGTCTTCTTCCCACTTCACGTGGTAAAGCATGGCTGATGCCTGCTACACCGGGGCTTACTTCAGCGGGAGCGACGATTACAAGGGAACCAAACGCGAACTGCACTGCTGAGTCTGAACGGACGACGGACTTACATCATCGTCTCTGGAGCAAAAGAGAAACAGGAGACGACCAGCCAGCAGAGCCTCCTCCCTCGCTCCTCGAAGCCGTGGACCCTTAGCACGTCGAATATGCGCTGCACGGCATTACGGCACTTGCAGAGGAGCCGTACGCGACATCAGCCAGCGAGACATGTCGCAACCGCTCGCCAAAATACCACTCTACACGCGCGTCCATTCTACCTCCCTGCCTTTCACCGGCCAATTCTTTCCCTTCACACTTCACAAAACCACGGCTTCCTCCGAGCTCTAGCGCCCGGTGCCTCCCTCTCGTACGAATGAACCCGGAGCAACTCTACAGGTTGAGGCGAGGTTGTTAATTGATTTGCCCCTCATGGCACCATCTCGCCCAACCATGTCGCTGTTCTTCAGCGGCGGTGGCACGACGTTACCGCCCGCCTACGTCCAATTTCCATACTCTTGGCTCCCCTGGCGAACCATGCTTAAAATGCTGGACACTTGCTGCAGGCCGTCTCCACTACCTTACTCTGATCAAGGTGTGTGCCGGAGATGGGCGACTAAAAAAGGCGCTGTGGGCTCAGCCTGTGGGCTGCGGTTGCGGTGGTGCTCGGGAACGACGCCAGGGATCAGGGCCGTTAGTGCCATCTCGGGCCCTCTTCTCTTTTTCTGCTGTCTCTCTTCATTTCTTGCGTCCGCTGCCGCGACTGCGCCGCTGAAGGTCCAGAGCGCCTCATCATGAGGACTGTGATTTTCGCGAATTGCTTCCAGGTTTGTTTGGACGCCCAGACCTGTCATTCTCGCTTCTCGCTTCTGCTCCTTGCAGCTCATCGCGTTGTCATCTCCTCGCAGCCGCAGGAAACCCCAAGTGGGCATTAAATGCACAGCCGTTGACGCGCCTGAAGGCCCTGCATCATGTTTCGCCCAACTTGCGCTCCCGTTCCCGTTCCGTTGCGTGTGTCGATTCATGGGATCATGAGAAACGAGCGCGCGAGCCTCAGGAAACACCCAACTCCACCGGCAACTCAATGCCGTGCGCGGATAGGGCTACATTGCATCTTACGGCTCGTCTTCGTCGACTCTTGGTCTGTGACTGTTCCCACGTCTGACGATTTCATGGCTCGCTACCAAGATCGACTGCTGATTATTGAGGGGCAACTCGTTTCGATGTGCACTGTTTTTCCTGGCGCTGCACAATTGCACGCTGTCTGCTCAGTCCTCACAAACACGACCAGGCCGACTCAGTGAAACAGCGAGGTCTGATATCACTCACATGCTCGGGAGAGACTGTCAACGAGTTGTGCTTGCTTTCAGTTGAGATTTTCATCGTACGCTAAAATGGACGACGAGACGCTCCTTTCGACCATCGAGTCACTAAAAAAGCCACCCAACGACCCAACGGCGTCAGACGCTGACACGCAAAAAGGAATGGGCCCTAACCAGGGATCGAACCTGGGACCTCTCCCAGATTGAATCGTCGAAACGATAACCCTAAGGGAGAATCATACCGCTAGACCATCAGGGCTGATTTGATTAAAGCAAGTTCATTGCTTGTTGAGGACAGCAGCTCGAAAATTCACTCATGGAGGGCGCGTGTGGTGTGGTGCGGTGGGTTCGCACGACTAAGGGCAACAAGATGCGACAGGGATGGCCCCGAAGGACGGAATATCGGAACGGCCTGAGACAACTGCAACGGCTCCAAGGGAATGAGCAACCCGCTTCTGCCCGTTCACCACCCTGCGCCACGTTCTGGCATGTCGGAGAATTGTCGATCATCTCGGTCTACTATCGAACTTCATGGCCGCGCTCGCTTCCCTGCCCCAGCTGCTCCTATCTATCGGCATTTGCGCCCCCAACAAGTGCGCGCCCACGCTAGCAGTACGGCAGCGAAGTATCAGAACAGCTCCCAGGGATGAATTTCTGGCCCGCCTTCGGCCGGTCAGCTTCGAAAAGCTGTGCCGAAGGGTCTAGGATCCGGTCGATGATGTGGATAGTACCCTTTTTCATTCATTGGTCAGTCAGGCCGTGAGAAGTGACAGCAGACAGCGCGTACCTTGGTGACCCTCGAGTCCCCCTCTGTGACTGTTGCTACGTCGTTCAGCCACAACGTGCCGTCTTTGATCTGGGCCCCGATGTACAGATACGACCCGGCCTGTATCCGCGACGCTGTCTCGTTGAAGACGCCAATGTTGAGTTGCGTGTTGGGGATGTAGTGGTGCTGTATGAGATTGCCGAGCCACCATTTGCCCTTGGGTGTCGGTGTGAAACTATTGAAGTACTGCCCGGTGTGCTTCGCAAAGGCCTCATTGGAAGGGGCGAAGAAGGTGAACTCCCACGTGGGGGTTGTGTCGAACGCCTCAAGGAAGCCTGCCGTTCGTCAGCTTCATTCCCTGGGTAGCCACGATGTACTCTCAGAGGTCTTGTTACCTGCTGATCCATTCAAGACTTTGGCCAGTTCAGCCAAGTCACTTCTAGAATTGACAAAGTCCAAGAGTGTAATCACTCCGTCAGCTTTCGCGGGCACATAAGTACCGTCTGGCTTCGGAGCATACGACAGCGGCCGTCTATCAGAAGAGCCCGCAGCACAGACAGGCCCAAAGATTATAAAGCCTAAGACCGTAGACAACTTCATGACGAGATTTCTTGAAGGCAAAGCATCCCAGCCCGGGGTGAAGGTTAGACGGAGATTCCTACTTATGTTTTTGTATTCTTGTAGTCCCCCATTATTGAGAGAACGTTAGGCACATGAAAACCGGAGCACAGTCTCCCGGGCCGGCGCCGAGCCCCGGCAATCATCCCGGAGTTGCGGGGTACAGCTCTACCCCGACATCCCCCGCAGATCATCGGCGAATCGGGACAGCCCGCATCGGAGGATTCACCGGACGATTCTGGGGAGTGACGAGTCCGCTATGTGCCATATTTCTTGATATTTGTGATTATATGCTGGTATATAAATGTGAATATCAAGATGTGCTGGCGGATATTGGGTATTGGGTCTGTCCAATCTTGGCCCTGTCGCCGGCACCATGATTTTCTTGCTCTGTCTTCTCGCCACATCTGCTGCTCCTACCCTGGGAGCTCCTGGGGGCATGGAATCACGGCCGCAGATGGGTAAGCCCACAGCGCAACACACGAGCAGCATGGCATACTGATGTTGCAATAGGATGGAACTCCTGGAACACATTCAAGGCAAACATCAACCAGTCCATCATCGAAACCACCGCCAAAGCTCTGGTTGACACGGGGCTTGCAGCAGCAGGCTACAAGTACCTGATCATGGACGAAGGCTGGCAAGCCGACGAACGTGCCACGGACGGGCGCCAAGAGTTCAACTCCACGCGTTTCCCGTCAGGAGGCTCAGCCCTCGTCAACCACATCCACGACATGGGCCTCAAAGTCGGGATATACAGGTGCCTGCGCTCCACCCTTTCTTCATCACATTAGGCATATTAACTGACATCTTGCCTCCACAGCGATTCCGGAATCTTCACCTGCGGCTTCGCTCCCGGAAGCTGGGGCTACGAGGACCTCGACGCCCAGACCTACGCGGACTGGGGCACCGATTACCTCAAGTACGACAACTGCGGCGGCTTCCACGCCGGGACGCACACGCAGCAGGAGCGCTTCCAGACCATGTCCAACGCCCTCCGCAACACCGGCCGCGACATCTTCTACTCGCTGTGCCAGTGGGGACACCAATTCCCGTGGTACTGGGCCGACCAAGTTGGCGCGGGTTCGTACCGCATGTCCGGGGACATTTACGCCTCGTTCGCGCAGGACAAGGCCGGCGCCTGCCCGACCGCGTACTGCCTGAACACGGGATATGCGGGGGTGAGTGTGCTGACGATGATCCGGAAGATGAGAGAGATCTCGCCGTTTCAGGAGAAGGGGCGGATGTCGTGGGCGGATATGGACATGCTTGAGGTTGGCGTTGGGAACGTCATGAGCGAGGTCGAGGAGCAGACGCACTTTTCGTTCTGGGCGGCGTTGAAGTCGCCGCTCATTATTGGTGCTGATGTCACCAAGATTCGAGAGCAATCGTTGAAGGTTCTTCTGAACCGAGACATTATTGCCATATCTCAGGACCAGAGGGGCGAGGCGGTGAAGTATTTGCCGGACTTGTCGACAGAGGGTAAGGTGCAAGTCTGGGCAGGGCCTGTCGACACTGGAAAGTATAGACACGTGGTGCTAGCGTTGAACTATGGGAATGAGCTGGTAGATATCAATGTGCCGCTTGATGGCATTGGGCTGGAGAAAGTGTGTACTGACAGGGTGAAGGTCAGGGAGGTTTGGGCGGCGGAGGATGTGGAAGTTTTGGAGGGCAAAGTTTTGTTAAAGAACGTGGCGGTTGGGCAGACCAAGGTGCTCCTGCTATCTTGTTGATTTCAAAGGTTTGACTATGGGAGATCTTTGTTTATTGCATCGATTTCAGCGCTTGAGTATCGTGGTACAACTTTGCATGGACTCGTTTTGATACGGCTCTACTCTTAGGATATCAGGCGTTGAGCCCGAAATGGCGCGAAGTATGGTACAAGAAATTCACAAAAGAAGCCGGCAAAAAGGTCTAGAAATAAACTTCAAACACAAGATCTCGAGGATCCAATGATAAAGTCTACGGTTGACTGTAAGATCAGCATGGCTATCTTCGCAGCTACCTATAATGTCTCGAATTAGAATCTACGAAGAAACGCCAAATCACTTTCAAAGCAAACGACGTGTTCGATGTTTCACGCCATCAGAAATGTATCCGTCAACTATGAAGAACAGAGGACTGCTGTTTGGTTCTTTCTTTTCTCACCACTTCATATTTAATCCTTCCCACAAAAGGAACCTACACGTTCATTCCAGTACATGCTTCCTTCCTCAAGAGCCTAGGTTATGTCTAACAACCACACCAGAATACTCAGTCGAGCACTATCCGCTCATCATTCAAAGGTTTCCTGTCGCGTTTTAACGTGGGGGATCCGAATTGCGGAAAGATGATGCTAGATGGAATACGGTATGGCTTCCACCGACCGGAGCCGGGGCATATACCGGAGCATTCTCCGACGGCGCCGATGAACACACTACCCTGGCACATTATCATCACTGACGATCGTTCTGATGGCCCGACGGCCCGAAATCTCTACCGAGAGCAAAATAGTAGTCTTGGCATGCTCTACAGAGGGCAACAAGGCAAGTCGCGCCTAAGTGGGCGCTTTCTCGTGACTAAGTCCGTTTTGGAGGAGCGCCTACTTGAAAGGCTTGCCCCAAACATGAGAGTCTTCTGAGGTTCGAAAAAGTCCAGCTTGGCCAAATCTTCGGTCGAAGATTTCCTTCACGTTACGTGGTGGACTTGGCCCCTTTCAATTTGATACCCAAGACTATGGCGCCCGACGCAGGTACAACTACTGGCGTCAAGAGAGGCTGTACTGGCTCTGACTCGACGGCGAACGGGACTGCTTCGGTAAGATAAGAAAATTCGTCTGGATACAATTGGCAGGACTTACATGCCAGATCAGACACAGAAGCGCAACAAGGTCTACCACGAGCATGCAGAAGAGGCAGACGGTCTAACGACTCCTCCTCTGTCAACGAACAGCAGCGAGATACCCTTGTCGTACATGCTCTTTTCTCCAAAAGCAGCCGCCAAAATATGGGGTGTTGCCCAGCAGAGCTTTTCCTCAGTAAGCAGATGCAACCGCCCTCCGCAGGCAAGAAGTGGCAGGCTGACAGACCATTCCAAGCCCGCACCGCCAACTTTGTTTCCGGAGTACACCAAGCCAGGTGGCACGAAGTACGTCTATAGGGAGCTGGACTTTTGGACGTCGGGATTCTTCCCAGGATGTCTTTACCTCCTTCTAGAGCGACGACGGAAGCACATCCATCTGCTGAGGCACCTGGGACAGTCTGACGGACAAGAACCCCACCAGATGCATCTGGAGTAAGATTGCAATTCCTAAAAAAAAAACAATACTTCCTCTGACCTAGACTACAGGTTCGCCTGTTCATGGTGGACGGAAAACCTCCATCCCAACGCACATCTCACAACGACCCATGACCTCGGTTTCATGATATTTCCATGGGCTCGCCCGGCGTGGGAGCTGAACCATGACCGACGGGCGTTCGAGTCCGCAATCATGGCCGCGAAGTCTCTCTATAGTCGATACGACGACACTGTCGGATCGATTCGGTCCTGGGACGTCTGCGTTACCAAGCGTTACAAGTTTCTGGATCCAAGCAAGGACTTTCTTGTCATCATCGTAAGGGATCCCCGGCACATCCGGTCATCATCAGGAGTACTAATTACCCCTCCAGGATAACATGATGAACCTCGACATGGTCTTCTGGGCTGCTGCCCAGCTCGGAGATCAGGACATGTACAATGCAGCCGTCAAGCATGCCGAAACGACCCGGACCCATCACATCCGCGAAGACTTCTCGACGTTTCACGTGGTGAATTTCGAACAGAAGACCGGCGTGCCGAAGGAGAAGATCACCAACCAAGGCTACTCCGACACGTCCTCCTGGTCGAGAGGCCAGGCGTGGGCCATTGCTGGTTTTGCGCAGACTTACGGCTGGACTCGTGACGTCTCCTTCCTCGAGACTGCGATTTCTTGCGCGGAGTACTTCATCGCCCAGCTTCCATCCACTTGGATCCCTCCGTGGGATTTCACGGCCCCGAAGGACGAGACACAGCCTCCGGATGTCAGTGCCGCGATGATCACTGCCTACGGCATGCTATTGATCCATGAAGCCTTGACGTCTCTGGGAAGAGAGTCGGCGTACCTCAAGCATGCTTTCAGGCTCATCCGAGCGACATGTACTACTCACATGAATGGTGGCGGCCAATATCTAAAGTTGAAGAGGACGATTGACACTGTTGAGCATGGGACTGTGGAGGAAGAGGTCGGCTGGGACGTGGACGGGGAAGGTGAGCCTGAAACGATCTTGAACGGCGCGACCATCAACAACTACGAATTCGCACCGAGAAGATGGGCGAACCACGGGCTGGTGTACGCCGACTATTTCTTTTTGCTGGCAGGGAACAAGCTTCTCGAGATGGGGGTTCCAGAATTATTTGAGGAGCGTGCTTGAGAATACAGAGCAGGGGCCTACATTGAATAGACTGATCATCTGTGTTTACTTTCCACATGAAATTATACTACATTAGGGGCAATCAAGTCTCCTCGCAGTGAATGAAGGGGTTTGTTGCATCTTACTCCTTCTCGGCTGCCCCAGAAAACATGCTTACCCGTTGGTTCGGCAGGAAAGAGTAGTCCAGATAAGTGTTGAGGTCCTCAAATTCTCCAACCATATTTGGTCCTCCATTATGCACATTCGATATCCCCATATCGTAGTGATCGTAACCGCCCAAATTAGGTTGCAGGTTCGCCGGCACAGGTGATGGCATTGCTGTAGGCCCTCGGCTGGGGTTCTGAGCATGGAAAGCCAGAGGGAGCGGGGGGAAGGCCAGGGAAATGCTGTCAGGAGATGCTTCTTGGTCGAAATCCACGCCTGAAGCGCCGAAGCCGCCCACGTACGCACCGTCCGGATTCGGAGAGAAGCCGTTGTTAGGACGACCTGCGCCGGGGCGGACGGCACCGGGTGTCCTGACATTATTACCGGACAGCGGAGAGGACGTTTCGTGCCTGTCGTCTGAGTATACGGCCTGCCTGATGTCCAACATGCCATGGCCTTGTTGACGAGCTTGGACTAGCCTCCCTGCAAACTTTGAAGCCAAATTCTCCGACGTGTCGCCAGGGCCATTCCACCTACTTGCGATCGTCCGCAAGCTCCCCACCAGCGAGTCAAAGCCACCTGGCAGCGTCACGCTGTAGTACAGTGAATGCGCTAGGAACATGCGTCCGCAGATGAAGAGACAGAAAGCGAACTGAGGACTGACAACATGTTGCGAGTCCTGCAGAAACTTCTCGGCTATGATTGCGACTTCTGTAGCAGCTGCGAGGCATGTTTCTGAACTAGAGGCGGATGGTAATCGGATGCGGGTGGATTGCCATTCCGGCAAGGGGTAGGCGATGCCCTGGTGGAGGAGAACAACAGCAGTATTGTGCGTTACGTGAGCCAAGGACAGATTGGGGTCCATAATCCCGTCGTTGTTCAGGACGCACGCTTCTCGCCATTGTTCTGGCAGGAATATCTTCCATCTGCTAGTGTTAGAAACAGCCGTACTTTGACGCATTGAGCCAGACTTACTGCACTAGACGCAAGTCAAGCTGTTTGAACTTCATCAACCAGACCTGTATCTCATGGGACTTTGAGACATCGATCGCTTGCTGGAGGAAGAATGACGTGACCAGACTGAGGCTTTCAGTGGCCTCTATGCAGTATGCAAACCCTCCCAGCGAGTCTTGGGCCGCTTCTTCTGGTCTCGCGGACGGGAGTGTTCCAGTGGCACCGCTTGACTGATCAGCGACACCGAAATACGGAGTCGGTGTCTGAAGCGGGTTGCCGGCCTCCCAGAGGGCACCTTCGCACGGAAGGCGTCTCTTGACATCTGCACTGGTCAATGAGAAGTTCCATCCAGTGGCGATGCTGCAAAACCGATCCATTAGGAAGATGTTCCAGAACACTCGCCGCCTCTCTTCTCTTTCGCTCCAAAATCGACAGGGTTTCAGGAACTCCATTCTCTTTATGAGACGTTTCGAAGCCGGTGGCTGGTCTTCGTCTTCCACGCTGAGTTGCAGTTGCTCCACAGTTCTTGTCATGCTCCCAACGATTGACTGCAATGTTAGCTTTGTGACGGGGAAAATGGCAAATTTTCTTACCCATGCAGAGGGACCTCGACCGCTTCCAATCTGTCAAACCGCTGTCAGATCGTGTGACGTATTCAGGGTGAGCTGATGGACCAACAGTATCAAACGCAATAATCGTCAACGCCTGTAAATTTTCCACGGAGAAAGATTCCATGCTGTTCAAGATAACAAATTGCCGACATCGTTTTGCGTACCGAGTCTTTTCCTCAGGAGAACCAAGACGGGCATCCTGGGAGAATCTCGCGCAGAGGCTCACAATAGCATGGAATATCGTACTCAGTTGCGTTCGTTGTTCGGGATCCAGCATCCGCTCGCGAAATTGGCGGACATGAAGCATCGGGATCCAGGGGTGGATGTTCGCAAAGTAAATCTCAACAAGATTATCCACGAGGTCCGCCTCAGGGAGCAAAGAATCGTCAACAACGGAGTCGAGCTTGGCATTGGCGCGTGTATTTCCTTTGGGCGCTGTCGTCTGTGTTTCCGGATTCTTGGGGCGCCAAGCGGCCAGAGTTGCCATTGCGGGCTCCCCACCTTCAGCAAGGGTTGCGAGGGTGTTCTTCAGAGAAGCAGCCGTTTCATTGAGAGACGTGTTTGATGACTCCTCTTGACTAGGACTGGACGAGTTGGGATGGGTCGCGGTGCTCAAGGCATTGAATACTTGCTGCCACAGGACTCCTTGGCCTAGAAACATGTTCTCGAGAGTTGCTGTGAAACGTCAGTCATGAAGTCAGGGCTTTGACGATTGGTCGGAAATGCTGATGGATGCTCACCGACTCGCTGGCTGAGATTCTCGACTGCCCCGGTTCGCAGTCCTGGCTTGGACCTCCTGTCGTCGTACACGCACTCGACATCTGGGATCTGATATTAGAGAGTTGCTCCCGGATCCTAGACGACATGAACCAACTGTATCGCACGCAGGCAGAGCAGGGTTGTCGTCTGGAACAGCGCGCTTTCTTTTTCCGACACGATTGACAGCTGAAATTTCTCGTGAGCCAAATTACAAGCGTACCGGAGCTCGTTGCGCGAGAAATTCTTACGCGGGACCTTCCGTGTCGCAGCCATTCGTATTCGAGTTTGTACGTCGCTTCTTGGACCGCGGTTGGCCATCTTCTTCACCGCCGGAGCGACCAGACATGGCCTCGTCATCGTCCTCGAACGCCATTGAGCCCAAGACCACGGAAATCACAAAGCACTCGAGGCTGGCAAATGGAGTTTGTAGGAGTCAACATTTTGATAATAAAGACGTGATCGGGCGAGCTATCCAAGTTCAGAAAAGGGTGCCGTTCGATCCAGGCTAAGTTGGGGATCGAAACTCGAACGTGGGGAAGATGTGCGGGGAATGCAGGCCTGTCACAAATAACATGCCACACTGATGGACCGCTGAGAGCAAGCCACAGCGGGTTGGACCCTTGCTACGCGTCCTGTGATTTCCGCTCGTGCACTCGCTGCAGCTGTGCCGATAGCCTACATGATAGCTTGCTTGAGCGGACGAACAAAAGTCCACGCAAAATTCTCCCACGAGGAATCTAACAAGAGTCTTTTTCTAAGAGGCAAAAGACCTGGCCAGAAATTTGAGTGAATAACAGCTAGTCTGCCCTGTTCCAGCGGGCCAGTAGCAAGACACAGCACGTCCGGGACACGAGAGGTTCTTCGACGTCTTCAGGTCAAGACCTCGGTTCAAGTGCTGCTTGCCATCAACCGCTCCAACCAGGAACCACCATCACAAACCACCAACCCAGAAACTTGTAGTCCAGGAAAAGATTCAACAGCCGAGGGGGCAGCAAACAATTTAGCGGCAGCCAGTTTCCATTCTGAAAGCTCTAAAGCCTGGGTAGCAGGTCCAATGCAAGGCAACACCCGAACGACGATCCGCCCACCTTCCACCAACCCCCGTCTCCGGGCACCGGGGTAGGTACCGGAGGCGTGCCCGAGCAGCCATTCCGCCCGCGTCCCACCCCCGGCATCACCATCAGCTCACCTGTCTAGCGCGAGGAGCTTCTCTGACTCCGCCGCTCCGGATTTGCAAAAGTTGGGGTCCCCAGGAAGTCTAGCATCGTCTGCATATAGGAGGCTCACTAACCAAGTCAAATCCGGGGTAAAAGGGGGCATGGAGACACACGACCCAGCCATTTCGACCTCTGATCACTAAAGATCTCACCGGATCCACAGAGCCCACCCACAAGACATCATGAAGCAAGGTTCATTGGCTCAGGGAGACAGCGCCATTACGCCTGTCTCTGAAGTTCCTGTCGAGCATCGAGAGGGCGACAAGGAGGTCAGCCTAGTGTATTCCGAAGGACACGACAACAACACCGCTAACAACATTTTGCTAGACCCATGAATACGCCGGTATGACGGCAACCTACGTCGATGAGAAGAAAAGCAGGGAGCTGTTCTGGATCATCAACCGTCGCATTCTAGCCTGTATGCTGGGCACCTACTTCTGCCAATCTCTCGATAAGGGCACTCTTGGCTTTGCGTCTGTGATGAACATCAGACAAGATGCCGGTCTCACGCACAACAACCAATTCAGGTGTGTACATCCTGCTAAGAAAGCCAAAGTCAAGTATTCTGACATTACCGCAGCTGGCTCGGCACCATCCTCTACATGGGCGTGTTGGTTGGAGAGTATCCGACCAACATGTTGCTGCAGAAGTTTCCGGTTGCCAAATATCTCTCCGTCAACGTCTTCTGCTGGGGCGTGGTCATTGCCTGCTCTGCCGCCGCCAAGAACTTTGCCGGTCTGATGGTTGTTCGGTTTCTGCTCGGAGTCTTTGAAAGCTGTGTCCAACCCGCCTTCATCATCATGTCCGTGGCTCTTGACTCCTGAAACTTTAGTTGGGTGTGCTAACATGTATCGCAGGACTTCGATGTGGGTAAGTTACTAACCTAGTTACCCCCTAAGCACCCAAGTTCAGCTAATCTAATTCGCATTTGATAGTACACCAAGAGAGAACAGTCCATTCTCACTTCGCTTTGGTACTGCATGACTGGTGTTCAGTTGATGGTATGTATCATATTATACTCTTATGGCTACTCGCATTCAAGCTCCTTAGGAATTGGACTTGATCGGGATATTTGCACACAAACACGATGCCCTTCAGGATTACGGAGTCAGCTAACACAACCACAGGTCGGTGGTCTCATCGCATACGGCGCGTCGCACTACAACGGCCACGACATCAAGTCATGGCAGCTGCTTTTCCTCGTCCTGGGCGCCGCAACCTGCGTCTGGGGCTTGTTCATCGGGTGGTGGCTCCCCGACTCACCCATGGCCGCGAAGTGCTTCGACGAGGACCAGAAGCGCCTGATGATCGAGCGTGTCCGCGCCAACGAGACCGGCATCCAGAACAAGACGTACAAGCGCTACCAAATGGTCGAGGCCGTGACCGACCCTGTGGTCTGGTGCTACGTGCTGCTCCAGGTCACTTCAACCTTGATCATCGGCGGGCTGGGCGTCTTCTCCAACTTGATCATCTCCTCGTTCGGCTTCACCTATCTCCAGACACAACTACTGAATATCGCTCAGGGAGCGGTCACAATCATCGTCATGCTCGGTAGCGCAACGCTGGCGACCTGGTCGAAACAGACTGCTTGGGTTATGCACGTAAGTCGGCGTCAACATATCATCTCCCCCCATCATGGCTTCTTGTACTAAGACCGCTTTCCACAGGCTTGGACAATGTGAGTCCCAGGTATCTCCCTTCAAGCAGAAAACTAACTTGCATCCAGCCCCGCTATCATTGGCACAGCGGTAATCTACAGCATCCCGCCCTCCGGGTCTAACCGCATCGGCCTCCTGATCGCCTTCTACTGCACCCAATTCTACCTCGCCGAGGGCAACCTCATCTTCTCTCTCATCTCCCGCAACATCGCCGGCCAGACCAAGAAATCCACCACCCTGGCCATGACGTTCATCGGCTGGGCCGCGGGCAACATGACGGCGCCCCAGATCTTCCAGGACAGCGACGCGCCGCGCTACCGCAAGGGCTTCACGGCCCATTTCTGCCTCTACGTCCTCTTCAACCTGTTCCTCGTTCTGATGCGGTTCCTGCTTGTCCGTCGCAACATGGTCAAGCGCACGGCTGCCGCTGCTGCTGCAGACCCGTCGAGCATGGCCGGCGAGGAGATTTCCGAGGATGGCAAGGCTGGTGTCAAGGGGCATGGGGGCGAGGACGAGAAGATTGAGCATTCGAACGCTTTTGCGGACTTGACGGATAAGGAGAACCCCGATTTCAGATATGACTTTTGAGGCGACTTGTCTCCAGCATTGGCAAGTAGGTGTCAACACACAGAGAGGGCTATTGGACAATGGTGAATGTTTCCGGGGCAGCATGTATGAAGAAGTGAAAGTATGTGGTTTCTTTCAACCATAACCCGCAGGTGGACTGAAAGAGGAAGACAACCATTCGGTCTGCGAGGATTAGCAAGTTTACTTCTATGCAGTATCAACTTCTCGTCCCAACAACGAGCATATTCCCCCACAATTGTCGGTTATATCAACCCTTGACAGTGTTAGAGTACGGGATCTATTGTCCATGCTTGGCTCCTCATCCTCAATTTGGTCTTCGTGGCCATTTGAACCCCAATATTGGTAGTTGCCATGAATGCCTTTGTAGGCAGCGAGCTGACCTTCCGTTGTCTTGCTCAACATTGAAGTGGGATTCTGTCTTCAAGATGACCCCTCGTCTATTAGCACGGCATCGTTCGTCTTTAGATTGTCTCTCAACTGCCTTTTGATGCTGTATTTTCTCAATTATCCCCGCCAACGCCATCATTGAGTTCTCGCCGATTACTTACCCTCGCCGCTGTCCTGCTCTCTTCTTTCCCTATGTCTAACAAACTTCCTTTCAGCGTTTCGCTCCGGAGCTCGTCTTTGCTTCAGACTGTGTTATCTCATTGCCTGTATACCATGCAAGACGAGACAACCTCGGAAAGTCGGCAACAGATGGTCAAAGACGCCTCAGCTGTCATCAACCAACACTGAGCCTGGAATGATATCAACGAACACATGCAACCAAGCACACCGTGAACGTGACGTTCGGCATGTGAAATAGACCGTAGCATATCACCTTCCCTACAAGAAGACGCTTGCCCAATTCAAGATGATTTCGCGAAGATATCATGCACTTCGTTTCCCAAACGCCAGACACCTGGGCCATTTGGAGTTAAAAGACATTGCAAAGTCATCAAACAGAACCTTGATACAGTGACAGGAACCACCGTCATTATAGACCGAGAGATTTGGCAGCTGCCATGCCAATGCTGTCATTTTTCAGCGCGACACCCTTATCAGCCGCCGAGGTTTCTCGGTCTCCTCCCCTACGAGAGGGCCGAGGCATGAAACTTGACGCAACATGCCAAACAGCCCACAGCAAATCACTAAAGAGAGTTCAGAACCAGAGACCTGGGACAACTCTGAATTGCTTGCTTTCCCAGTCAAACTCAAGCAATGACACCGCTGTCAGAGGGAAATTCAGGCAGGCTCGGGCGGGAGCCAGGGAGGGGGCTTCAGTGAGGAATGACGTTCTTGCGAGTGTGTGGTCTCTGCCTCTCCGCCGTCAACTCAATTTTCAGAGGTATTGAGACGAGAGAAAGTCTAGGGCAATAGCTGGCTGTACGACCTCCTTCGGAAACGTCCACGAAAGAGGCAACTCTCTCGCAATTGTCACGAGCCAGCTGGCGAAGAATGTCCCAAAGAGGTCAAAGGCGTTTGCGCGCCGGCGCGCACTTGATGGACTGTCACATTGGCCGGATGAAGACGGTTGAACACTGTCTGGAGGTTACGACACATGCTCGGACAAAGCTCTCCCTCGCTCAGGGACTCGGGCTGATACCGAAACCGAGACCCTAATCGGCATCATCTCTCTATGTTCCCAGCAATGCGCTGAAAGCCTAGGAAATTCTGCCATGAGATGAGGTTAGATTTCGAGTTTGAACGTGAAGCGAGAGACTCGCCACTGTGTGATTACATGCAAAGTGTTTGGAGGCATTCCGGCGAAGTGGCGACGTGCGACAATCGTTATTTTGGAAGACGTTAGCCGCATGAATAGGTCCGGGAGCGATAAACGTTTGTCAGCACCCGTCGTCTTCGGAGATGCTTTTTACATCCGTCAAAGGCGGAAGAGGCAGCCGAGCCAAGGCTTAGGATCTGTCGAGGAATCTTTAAGCAAGACCGGGGCTGCGGAGTGAGGTTGGACCCGGAGCTGTGGAGATGGCACCAGGCGGGGTGATACACGGGGCCAACAGCTGCAGCAACAGTGTCTGAACAGTTTGAGGTCGCCGACCCCTCGAATGAGCCGCTGTTCGAGAAGATGCATGCTTCTGCACAGTTCTCGCCAATCCGAATTCATCGATGGCGAGGGGTCCGTCTGGAAGTGAAGCGTTCGCGGGATTGACAGCTCAGGGGGCATCCTCTCTGGATCCCTCAGGAACCGCTAGCAGCACGGTCTTTTTGACGACAGTGCACATGCGACGCGTACTGGACTGGGCTAGTTGGCCATGCGATCGTCCCAGAAACGTATGGTTCAAGGCCATGGCCGTTGAACAAGGCAGCCCGCCAAGCTGGATTCGTTGTCCATAGAAAGCATAGCGTGATCGAACTCGGCCGATAGACTTGGACAACCGGGGCCGTGATTGTCGTGGAAGAGCGAGAATCGAATTATCGTTGACTACACGCGCCCATCGACTGTTTGAAAGACGCAGCTTCTCCTCAGTGGCGGCGACGCCTATCAGTCCTGCCGGTTTGCTAGTTGAAGCCCCCAAACCTGCCTGCAACATTCCCTTTTTGGGAGGTACTTCGCAGAAGTAATAGCCACACGGGCCTCGTCTCTTGAATGGGTTATGGCTTAATCTTCTGAGCTGAAGTCAGCGCAGTCAGCCGTGCCACATTCGCGGCGAGATGCTGCTTTTTTTAGTTGCTAAGATGACGTTCGTAAATGAAGACAGCTCCTACGTGACAGTAATGATAGGATTGATCCGGGCCGAGTTCGTATGATGATTCAAGACATCAGCAAAGGGACATAGCCCCTCGGAACTACGCTTCATAGGTCAAAGGTTGCGTGAAAACTTGCTCGCTGCAAGTGCGAATACCAAGCTAGAGCATGCAAGTTGACATGTGCGCGCACTGCAGGTGCCCGACAAGCAGGGCTGCCTATCTCAAGGACCGCAGAGCTCCCAAGATAGGCCTGAGAGCCGCTGAGATGGCGCATGGAAGGTGCGAAGAGGTTGATGATGAGATGCCACGTCTGCCACAGTTTGTTACCTGTTCTAGGCCTGGGTGCGTGTTGTGCCGTGGTGGTCTAGCCCCGAGCTGACAAGTGAGGCCATCCCTGGGGGATAATATGACAGTAGACACCAGACGGTCGTTGACGGGCTCAGATCCCACTAGATTGAGTTCATGCAGCTCGCTCAACTAGTAGCATGAGCCGGGTTCTGAGGAGAATTCGGCAAGCGCAAATCGACAACTCAGGGAACGAGATTGCGATGATTCCCGCGAAGCACTATCGAGTGCCGGGAGCTTACAGGCTGTGGCGTTGAGCGTGTCTGCGCGCCGAAGGAGTCTCTTTCTGCCGCGGGGATGGACGTAAGACATGGGTCACGTAGGCGGGCGCTGGTGCGTGAAGACGGAGAGGGTGTGAAGGCGGGAGAAGGCGCTGCGAGATGTGAGCTTTGAACCCAACCAGCGCCGTGTTCCACGCAAGCGAAACGGGCATGATAGCATCCCGCGAACGAATATTGCGTACATGCTTTTCGCATGCATGACCTAGGGAGAGACTGAATGTCGATAAATCGACGGATGTGCTGAGCTCGGGGTCGTCCAACGAAACGAAACGCAGAGTGAGTTGCAGTCCGAAGTTCACCGGGGACCTGCAAGGAAGCGGGCGGATGTGATGGACGGCGTCCTCCCGGGGAGTGGGGAGTAAAGATGGATGCGATGCCCTGGATGTTGGGTTGGCGGCAGCAAAGAAAAGGGCACTGTGAAGGTGCAAGGAGCTGCTGTGAGGTCTTGCAGGAACGTGCAGGCAGAGAGGAGCAGCGAGCAGGGTATATGGTGGTGAGTGAATCAGGCGCGAGGTGCTTCACCGGAATCTCTGACGCAGGACCCCTAGCTAGCCGCCCGGGGATATGGAGTCACGTGCACGGAAAAGGCCCGGTAAGACTGGGTTTGACTGGGGAAGGTGCAGGGAGACGCAGGGAAGGCGCGGTAACGGTAGGGTAGGTGCCGCAATACTACCTCTGTACATCCATCCTGCGGGCTGGTACTGGGCGTCGTACTGTATGCAGTACTCCTCCGGCCTGGGAGGAGGAGCTGGGAGGAGAAGGGCCCTGAGCCTTAAGGTATTTTTCCTTTCTTCCCTTAGGTTCCCTTCTCCTCCCAGGCTCCTAGGTAGGCTCCTCTCGATCGGCAACAGCTCGCCAGCTTTCCGGGACCTGGGATGGATCTGACATGGACTGACGGGACGCTGGTCGTTGTCGCTGTCGCCGACGCCGACTCCGACTTGCGCCTGAGGCCTGCAGCCTGCCGCATCCTACCCACGCGCTGCTCCCCAGCCCATCTCATCTCATCTTTGGATGTCTCGGGACATCTGGAGCGAAAGCACACTGTGAAGCTGTTGAGGGTGTTGAGGACATGCACAAGGGAGGAAGAAGAGAGGCAGTGAGCGAACGCACTGCCGCAACATGTTTCCAACGCCGCTGCAGAACGCTTCCTGTTCCAACGGTGGTCCTAACCTCAGCCCTCAGCTCGCCCGAGGGCAAGCAGGGTGATTCCATTAGCGACAGGGCATGGTCAGCGGTTGACCGCGGCCGGTACTGGGGAGACGAACGGACCACAGAGCAGACCTTGCCGCGACTTGACACCAAACGCGCAGACCGCAGGGCAGGGCAGGGCAGGTTCTTTGCGCGCCCGAAGTCCGAGTTCGTTTGATGGTTGATCGAGGCTGGACCGCATGCCCTCAATCTGTCTCCTTCTCAATCTCAGGTGGCTCGCGCGCTAGAGGAGAAATAGCGTGCTGCACATCCGGCCCTGGTCCCGGGAGATGGAGCGATATGGGGTCGTGGATAAGATTGATATTGATGTTGATGTTCATATGTCAGGTAGGTATGTGTAAGTGAGGCATCCGCAACCTATTAGCTTCCAGTTAACAAAGACGGTAACTGACGATTCGCAAAAGGTAATTAGCCCCCCTATGCGCCCGAGCAGCAGGTCAACAAGTCAGACGCTTGCCTGCCTGCCTGCTTGCTTGGCCT